GCATTAAATGGTGAGGATGTGCATTAAATGGTGAGGATGTGCATTAAATGGTGAGGTTGTGCATTAAATGGTGAGGTTGTGCATTAAATGGTGAGGATGTGCATTAAATGGTGAGGATGTGCATTAAATGGTGAGGTTGTGCATTAAAACGAGCTCCACACAGTAGTTCCAATCTACAACTCAGAAACTAATGAGAATAAGAGCTTTATACGACCTTGAAAAACCTTAAAACAATTTTTAATCTGACAAAATCTCAAACAGAAAATAGAAAATTAGTTTCACAAGTTGAACTACTGTTTCATAAAAGTTATATTTTCAAGAAAATGTTTAAATATTATTTTAAAACTAATTTTAATAAGCTAAGAATTCACTCACCTGCAGATAATCTTAACAGAACATGATTCCCTTCACGGCTACAGTTTCAAATCAAACTTTATTTGTAAAGCACATTTCATACAGTGGCGTGTAATGCAAATGAAAATACATGCTTGAAACATGCTGTTAATTAGACACAGCTAAAAATCACAACACATTTTAGCTTTGCCTTTACAAGCATGATTGAAGTACAATCCGACAGCAGGCGAAAAGAAAACAACGATAAACAAGCAAACAAACACGTGAAAGTGATTGAATCATAAAAATACTGAAGAAACTGAAACACAACATTTCGTTAATGAGGAAACACAGAAGCGAGTATTAAAGTATATAAATCATAATGAAACATGAATTTTAAAACCTGAAACGCTTCTAATATTATAATTTTCATCTGTGGACTGTATTAAACATCCTCTGACCCTTGAGTGAGCCTTTTAACCTAATGTAGTTTAAATAAAACATCTTCACAAGACTGTTGTAAACTGGCATTAAAGCGGCGAGCAACGTTTTCTGGTCTGTTTATGTTTTTGTTTGTTCCAGGAGACTTCAGTGCCGAGGAGAAGTACCAGATTTTTATGCAACATCGTTACAACAGTTGTCTAGAGATGCTGCTAGAGCATCTCAACCATGAACTCCATGAAGTGAAGGTAAGCACAGTTATATTTTATACATGATGTTTTCCTTGTTAGAGCTTATTTATAGATTTTAGTGCCTGCACAAAGTGTAGGCAACACTGTATGTATGTTAGTGTGAGTTAGAAACATGTAAAGGGCTTTGTAGACCAAAATAATGTTAAAAGTGCTTTATTGAGCATTTCTCATTCAATAATGTCCAATTACAGGAAAGTGCCCTGTGCTGCCTGATGAAGTTTGCAGCAGCAGAAGGAGAGCATCCTCTGGAAGATTCACAACATTACAGCTTCCCAAGGAAACTGATCCGGGTAGAATATTAATAACTTCCCACCTTATTAGTCAAGTCAACAGATTATTGAAAATGTTTAAGCGTTGATTATTAAAACGGTATATAACTGGGCTGTGACTGTAGTCTTAGTGTTTGCGACCATCCAGCGGTGCGGTTGGGCTTTTAGTGGCTTATACTGCCATCCAGTGGTCAGAAAAGGTAATACACTTAAAATAAAATTAACCAACATTTCTTCTTAAATTTGACAATAATGACTAATTATTGTCAAATTTCAAACATTATTATCGTTTATCGCAATAATTTCTGAGCCAATTAATCGCCCAGCAAAATGTGTTATTGTGACAGACCTAGTAATTAGCTGCCAGCGGTCCCAGCTCAGTGAGATACTTGCTTTAGTGGCGTGGGCACTTTGTGATGCTCATGATTTCTTTCACCGGCAGGCAGTGGTAGACAACCTTCTTCCTACGAAGACCGACAACTCCCTGCTGATTTCCAGGTTCCAGGAGTTTCTTGAGATGGAGGATTTGCGTTACTTTGTAATGAGCGCCATCTGTGGGAACGTGCACAAAGTCATGGAGATAAACAAAGGGGTGCGCGCAGCTCGTCTGCTGATTTTCTTTGCTCTGCTGCTGTTGTTCTTTCTGTTCGTATTTTACCCGACGCTCTTGTTTTTTTTTAGGCTGTGCTGCCTGTGTATCAGAACAATGTGTTCACCCTTATGTCCAACATTAACATTCCAAGCCAGGAGTCTGAAATGACCAACTTCATGGTGAAGCAGAAATGTGAGACCCTTTATGATTATTATTTTTTTATGTGAGGATACTCCACAGCTTCTTCTTGTAGAAAGGGAAAAACTTTAATTCTTCTTTTTTTTTTTTTTTCTTTCTAGTCAACCATGAAAACTGGAAAGCTACTAAACTCATGGTAAGTGAAGTAGTTTAAACTTTACCGTCACATGTCTGCACGAAACCTGAATTGGCTGTAAAATGCTCTGTTCTGCTGCAGGACCACAAGCGTGCATTTGAGAGAATGTGGCTTGGCTTTCTCAAGTACAAGGTAAACATCTGCACCTCACAATCCACAGTTTCCTATCTTGCTAGCACATGTCTAGTTTTATAAATATATATATATTTAGGGATGCACAATATTATCGGCATGTATCGGTATCGGACGATATTAGCGATAAAGTTAAATATCGGCCATTCCATCAAAATAACTCCCGATATAAAAGGTGCTGTTTATATATGTTCAAATGTTGTCACTGTGTTAGAGAGAGTAAATGTCATGAATAAATTTGACGTTAAACATAATCCAAGTTGAAGTGTTGCTTCATTTTCATCCCTCTTTTTGACATTGCATTTGGTAGCAGGACAAACTGACAAAGACCATGCAGAATAATGTCGTAGTTTAATTCCACAGCAGAGAAAGCTGTGTAGTCTCTGTAAGTAGGTCCAGGGGAAAAATATCGGTATTGGTATCGATTATCGGCCAAATAAGTTTTGGCATATCAGATATCGGCCAAAAATCTAATATTGTGCATCCCTAATCTATTTTATTAAATCTCTCTTTCAGTTGCCAAACAGCATGTATAAAAAGGTGTTGGTGATCCTTCACGACTCCATTTTGCCGCACATGAACATCCCCGCTCTAATGATCGACTTTTTGACTGCTGCCTATGATGTTGGTAGGTTTATCTCATCTCTGCTCTTTTTGTGTAACCGAATCGCTTGTGCCTCAGAAAGCAACCTCCGATCACACACTGCTGCAGCGATTTTATTTCAAAAGGAAGCAACGGGGTTTCCTGTTGCAAACGCCGCTTGAATTTTTCGAACTGTCCCTTTAGAAAGCATAACGTCGAATGAATTGATTTGTTGCAGGACTCTCACTGAACAGTTGAAGCTGAAAAAAAAAAGTGAAATGATTTATCTCTATAAACGTAGAACCTTCACACAAAATCTTTAGTCATCATCTTTACCATCTTTTCTGAGTCTGACCTTCAGGCAGATGTTACAGAGCCTACAGCTGTTTTAAAAAAAAACAACTGATTTAAGCTTTCATTTATTCCTACTTCAATGATTTTCCTCAAAAAATAAACATTTAGATTTGAAACGGTGTTTTTTTATTACGTGCTACCAATATTTAATGTGTTTCATTTTTGGATTCTATATTAATTGTTAAGACTAAAACAAACAAAATCCACGTCTTCATTCGTTACTCATATGTTGATATTTTAGTTTAGTTATTAAATCAATGTAGCCATGGCAAATTTAAACATTTTTCAGCTTCTTTCAGCTAATTTCAGCTGTTTTGTGCTCCTTTCAGATTCTTTGTACTAACTACATTTTTTCTGCTTCTTCTAATTTCTTTCTGCTAATTTCAGCTTATGCTCTGTTCAGCTTATTTCTGTGTTTCAGCTTATTTTGTTGGCTTTCTTGTTTCAGCTTATTCTGCTATTTTAGCTACTATTTAGCTGTTTTTATGCTAATTTTAGTTTTTTCAACTAGTCCCACATTTTTTGCACTTAAATTTTGCTGATTAATTCATCAAAATTGTTCTCTCTCCACTTCCTTCTGCTAACTCAATATTTTTTCTACCTGTTTTGCTACTTTTCATGTTTTTGTTTGCAAATTTAATCTTTTTCCAGATAATTTCCACTTTTTTGGGCTAATTTCTGATTCTTTCAGCTTAATTGGGCAAATGTTCTTTCTGCTTTTTTTTATGCTAATTTAAGCTTGTTCTACCTTTTCAGCTAGCTTTTTAAACTTTTTTAGTTAATTTCAGCTGTTTTTAGATAAATTAAAGTTTTCCCTGGAAATGTTTGTTACTTTCAACCTAATTAACTTCTTTGTGGTAATGTAAGCCTTATTATGCTCCTTTCAGCTAGTTTCAGCTTTATTTGATATTTCAGTTACTATTTAGCTGTTTTTATGCTAATTTCAGCGTTTTCCAGCTAATTCCACCTTCTTGGAGCTCATTTCAGCCTTTTTCACATCCTTCTGGTAGTTTAAGCTTCTTTCCACTTTTTCATTTAATTTTCAGCTATTTTTTTGTTGCAAATTTAAGCTTTTTTTTTTAGCTGATTTAGTAATTTTTGTGCTAATTTCTGCTAATTTAAACATAATTCAGAAAATATGTGTTCTTTCTGATTTCTTCTGCTAATTTAAGCTTGTTATTCCATTTCAACTACAATTCAGCATGGCTTTTTTAAATGTTTTTAGCTCATTTCAGCTGTTTTTCAGCAAGTTCTTCAGCAATAAGCATTCAGAGCCAGATAAAAATGTAAGATTTTAAATGCCAACAAACTTTTGCGTACAAGAGTTGAATCCTGCTTAGTCGTTTTAAAATACTGTAAAAAAATTATAATATAAAAAAATGCGTTTTTAGAATTTAAAAGTTGGGAAGCGTCATTTGAAGTCTGCATCATTTTGGATCATCATAAAATGATTGTGTTGTTGGACAGGTGGGGCAATCAGTCTGCTGGCTCTCGATGGTCTTTTTGTGCTCATTCATAAACACAACCTGTGAGTATTACATGAAAACAGTCATTAGTAGCACCAGTAACGACATGTTTAAAGAAAAGAAAATAGATTTGAGTCATCATCGTTTTATTTACAGGGACTATCCTGATTTCTACAAAAAGTTGTATAACCTTCTCGAGCCGTCTGTTTTCCATGTAAAGTACAGAGCACGCTTTTTTCATCTAGCCAACCTCTTCCTTAGCTCCAGGTACGATCATTCAGTCTTCACCTTGTTTTGTTTTTTTTTACCATTAAAGCAACATGGGTGTAGTGTTGTTTACTGTATGCATCGTTTGTGGTCCCCTCCAGTCACCTGCCAGTTTACCTGGTTGCTGCGTTCGCCAAACGCCTGGCCCGTCTGGCTCTCATAGCTCCACCTACAGCTCTTCTCATAGTCCTGCCGTTCATCTACAACCTGATCCGCCGCCACCCGTCCTGCAGAGTTCTCATCCACAAACCCAGCACAGAAGATGGTGAGTTGTCGCGATAAACAATAAATCAATTAAGCGCACGATGAATGAAAGTTATCGGCCTCATTTTCATTTATCGGCTTCATTGTTTCTTCGTGTCTCTCTCTTTCTACTGAAGACACTGGATGACAAAAGGCTCAACTCCGGTGCTCTTCACTGACCCCTCCATTTCTCTTGAAAATTAATTTTAACCGTCCAAAATCGCGCTTTTGGATCGTTAAAAACAGCTAAGCTGTGAAGCTAAGCTACGAGCTAAGCTAACATGCTGACCTCGGGAATAAACCTCCGTCTTGTCGAAGCTCCAAAATTCACGGTTGAAACCCATGCCTTCGTGTAAAAAGTTGTTTTTCTTTGCAAAAAGAACCTGAGAACTTGTTTACTGATTTTTTTTAATTAAAAGCTTTGTGAGAAAATGACATGTTATAAAGCTCAAATCACCGAGCGTCCGCCATGTCAGCCCATGACACGTCAAGGGCCCTCCCTCCCATTTTTCTTAGACACACTGCTCAACTATCCATCCTTTGGTTCAAGCAATCTTATACTTCCATCAGGTGGTCAAAAAGGTACTACAACCAAACAAATCAACATTTATTCTAAAATTTGACAACTATTGTTAAATTTCAAACAATATTATCGTTTATCGCAATAATTTCTGAGACAATTAATCGCCCAGGAAAATTTGCTATCGTGACAGGCCTATTCATTACAGCTGCAGCTGGCTCTAGCAGTACGTGTGCCAAGATGAATGAAAAGCTGTCCTTTCTGTGCATCCTCACAGAGCCTCTCGAGGATCCGTACGTAATGGATGAAGAGGATCCCGCTCAGTGTCGCGCCTTAGAGAGCAGCTTGTGGGAAATTAAGGTGAGAGTGAGGCGACGTCTGATGTCAGCTGAACTGTCAGAATCTTAATTTGAAGAAATGTTATGGATGAAGCTTGTGTTCTTTCATGGCAGCACATAGAAGCGACACTTTTCTTTGTCCTTTGTACAGACGCTGCAGAAGCATTACCATCCAGATGTGGTCAAAACTGCAACAATGATCAACACATCTCTGTCGGCGTTAGAAGATGACATCAGCAATGTCCTAGAGTTAACAACATATGAGGTGAATGAACTGTTCTTTTTTCTTTTGTCTTTTATTATTTTTTAACTAGATATTCTTTTTCCTTTTCCTGGGATTTCAGTTAATTGACTGTTAATTAAAATACAGCAGTACCAGAGTCAAACCAGTTTTCAACCATTTCAACAGTTTCAAGAAGTCTGGAAAAGTTTAAAAGTTCCTTTTAGTATTTCTCAGCTCTAGATTAAAAAAAAATAGATTATAGAAAAACAAAAGGATTCCAAATCTTTCCTTTTGTTCCTATAAATAAATATATAAATACATTTTTTTCCTCAGATAAAATTGTTCAGAGCAACATTTGATTATTTGTAAAAGATAAATATATAGTTTTAATTCACATTATACCCTTACTGTTTACAAAATATGCTAAATAAATGCAAATTATTTACCGGATATTGTCTGAACTCAATCCAGTTTTAATTTTTTTCTACTTAAAATGGGAACAAATTTTACAAAATACATATTTAAGATTTGAACAATGCGATTAGGTCCATAAACTCCTCAGTTATGTTTAACACATTTGTATACAGTCAGTAATGCACAAGTTTATTTTTCGACTTTTAAACGGCCTTAAAATCTAAAACAAACAGTTAATTTGGAGTTTGCATACATCTACAATTTTACAATAGAGATTATGTAGCCACCCTGTGAATAAACGTAATGATTAATTTTAGTAACTGGTGAAACTTCTACAACTGAGAGACAAAAAAAATGAAAATGTTAACAGAAAGTGGGATTTTCATTCAGGGATATAATTAGAAACAAGCCTGAAAACTGTCAGTGGACTTTTCATTTATTTTAAGAGAACTGCAGTCACAAACTTACAAGTATAAAACTACAATAAAATGTATTAAAAAGTGAAAAGAGCCTTTACTTTGCACTTCATAGTTGCAGCAAATGCATCACAATTTGAAGCTGGATGGAGATAAAAAGAGGGAGATTTCCTTCAAGATCCAAACAGCTTTTGAAGAAATTGTCAAAACTTCAAGATCTTTAAAAAGTGAAGTGTTATTTTTCAGCTAGGAATAAATTCAGTTTAAAAAGTTCCTCTTCTTGAAAGGATGCTCATCACTCATTGACCTGCATGCAAAAGTTTTAAACATAGATATGCCTTTAATAACTCAGTTATTACCGCACCAAGTGTTAGCTCAGTTTCTGTAAAAATGGACTGTTAAAGCCCTTTTTTGTGTTTAAGGCTGATTAAAAATTACTCACTGGTTCACAAGATCTTTTGCTAACAGAATGATAGTGCGTGTTTGTTATTTATATCAAAATTAACCTAAGTCCCAAACTTTTTTGCTTGGTGAGCATTTGTAATTTCCCCTAGATTTTTAGGATCGATAGATCCTCCTAAACATAACGTGTCCCTTTTCTTTTTGTCCACAGCTGATGGATCGAGACCTGAAACGATCTCAGAAGAAGAAAGTCCCCCTGGAGTTTGAAACGGCCACAGAGTTACTGAAAGGAGGCGGAGATGTGTTAAAGCAACACTTTTGTTTGCTTTAAAAATAAAACAAAACAAAATGCATTCACTGTTTACCACTGAACAGATCTATCTGAGATGAAATTATAGACTGATAGATGTGGGTGTGTGTGGGATCAGCACATCAACAAGAGTAAAAACATTTAAAAATTATTTTAACACTTTTTTCATACCTGTCCATGTTTTGACGAATGGTCAATAAAAAAATTTTTTTTTGATTAAAAATATCTTTATTTGATGTTTTATAAACTAATCTGAAAATCTTTTTTTTTTTTTTTTAATTCAACCTGTATTTATATCGGTTAATCCCATTGAGTCTTGGGGACTCATTTACAAGAGAGACAATGAAAATGTTTTTAGATAAATTATTACATTTAGAATTTAAAAGGTTTATGAATTTAATGTGGAATGGTTGCTAAATGGTTGGCTCCCCCCTCAGAACAGAAGCCTCAGCAGAGATGCAGACAGCTCCACCTCAGAGGAACACCAAACGAAATGTGAAAGCTTCTCAATGTGACATGGAAAATATTTTAAGAGTAAATCCCATCTTAAGGTGCATTCCAGCATCCACACAGGTGAAAAGTCACGTTGGTCACGTGTGGAAAAAGGTTCAGATTGGGTGGTTATTTATCAATCCACATGAGAATTCACACAAGAGAGAGGCCATTTTCTTGTGAGACATGGGAGAAGTTATTACAGTGGTGGTCACTTACAAATCCACAAGATAAGTCATTCAGATGAGAAGTATGTAAAACCTGTGGGGAAAAACTTTAAGCCCCTCTGCTGCAAGTCCATTCACACTGGTGTGAAACGATTTTGTTGTAGATTTTGTGGGAACGTTTCAGAATTCATGAATTAGTTAAGCATATTAGAATCCATATTGGAAAAACCATATTGTTGTGAGACTTGTGGAAAACGGTTCATAGATGATTACAAATTAAAGTCCACAAGATGGTCCACACGGGCAAAAAGACATATTCTTGTAAAAAGTGTGGAAGATGTTTCGCCCAACGTGTGGGCTTGATTGGACATGAGCTCACATAGGTGAGATATATTTGTAAAAAGTGTTTGACTTCTAAAAGTGGCTTGGTGATGTGAAAACTCACACAGGTGAGAAGTTACGTTTTTGTAATGTCTGTGGGAAATGTTTCAGCCATGAAGAGGACTTGACCCAACACCGGTGAGAAACCATATCCTTGTGAAATATGTGGAAAGAAATTTACTTATAAAAACCTTTGTGAGACAGATCTCACACAGGCGAGAAGCCATATTGTAAAAGTTTCACTCAGAGTGGGGGCTTGATCATAAACATGAGAGTTCACTCTGGTGATAAACCATCATATGCTTGTGAAAAATGTAAAACATGTTTTTCTTCTTAAAAAAAATACCTTTGTGAGAGATACAAGAACTCATACTGGTGAAAACCATATTTTTGTCAAATTTCTGGGAAATGTTTCACTCAAAATGGGGGCTTAATCAGACTCGAGAGTACACTGCTGAGAAACCATATCCTTGTGAAAAATGTTAAAGTTGTTTTACTTGTAAAAGTGGCTTTTTGAGAGACGAGAACTCACATACTGTAGGTGTGCAACCACATTCTTGTGTGACAAAGTGGAAATTTGAACGCATCTGCTGGCTTCCTTCCCTAGTTAACTTTTTTATGTATATGAATATTTTTGTACAGTGTGCTGAGACAATTTCTGTTGTGATTTGGCGCTATATAAATTAACTGGATTGATAAAAGGACTGAGTTACCACTGAAGTTTTATTTATTTATTGTGAGGCTGTTCTCGTGCACAGGTGATGCCTTAGTGCTATTTTTGGCATCTCCTCTTCACATTTCTCTTGTTAAGTGTACCATCTGGTCACCCAGCAGGCAGCCAGAGTATAAGAAAACAATAAAGGGAAAGTCTGAATCATACCACACTTATTTCTCTAAAGGAGCAAGTCAGACCTGAACATCCACAAACAGAAATGCCTTCTATGAAATGGAGAACATTTGAACCCACGAAGCGTCTAAATCCATCCTGTTTATCTATGGATTTGTATCTTTAAGGCATTTTTTTTTTTTTGGTAAATCGGTGCAATGCACACGGCTCAGGAGCAGGAAATCCGGCAGCCAAGGAAACCAAATCATTTTGAAAACGACTGTTTTAAACAGGTACAAAAATATGATGTCAACATTTTGATTGAACAGGATTTTAAATGTCTCCATAACTGAGCTTTTCATTCATCTTCTTCTGATGTTCTTATGCCAGTTGATTTTTTTAGATGAAGTGTTTTAAGCTTCTAAAGTTGAGTCACTGAAGCAATAAAACAAATGCCTAACTCAAGGGATGAACCACTGTTGTATAGCATGTCCTTAAAATCAAACACTTTTGTTATTACAATATTTGTTTTCATAAATGCTAATAAATGTCAAACTGTTTTTTGCCACAAACTACTAGAAAGTAAATACTTTAGCTCTTTGCTAAGGTGTTAATAGGCTTACCTGGCTCATCCCTTGAGTTAGGTGTCTTCTATTTTTACCTAGTTTGGCTAATTGACTGCAAATTATACAAAATTTGCTTTATTTATACATGTTTTATTTTAAATAGGAGCAAACAATTTACAACAAATTGTATTTTTTTTTTTTATCCCAATAAACCAACATCTCAGGTGAGGCTTTGAAACAGCAGCAGTGTCTCATGACATTTAAATAAACCTCTTCTTCCACATTGCAAATCAAATCCAGGTTCTTACAATCAAACAGAGCAACTTTTTGTTCTTGTTTTGGTAAATGTGGGACTGAGGAGATCTGTATGAAGCTGTAGGACTCTGCATTGAGCTTTGTGTACTCTTGGTGTTGCAGCAGCCATCTTTCTCCATCTGTGAAGAAATAGAAGCTGTTCAAGGCGAGTCAACGCACAAAATGATTTGATGATGAAATGATGAAATTTGACTGAGATTAAAAAAAAAATTCTAAGAGGGACTAAGGAGAAAGATATTTATAGTCTGCTGCTTAAGGCAAAAGTGTCTGCCAGTTTATTTGGCTGTGTTAGCAAAATATTCTATGAACCAGTGGACAGATTTTCTTGAAATTTTCAAAAAGTAACGTTGTCCATCTGCTTAACTTTTGTAGTCAGCCCCATTAAAAATGGCCACCAGAGCAATCTTTGTCAAACTCACAATGACTGTAACCAATTATATTACCGTAATCTCTGGTATATAGAGCACACCTGCGCCACACACATGAAATTTAAAACAAAACATAATTTTGTACATAAAAAAAAAGCTGCGCTTGTATATAAGCTGCAGGTGTCCACATTTTAATATCAGAAACTTTACGCAACTGATAGAATGTGCAGCTTCGGTAATCCTGATGCATGCTCAATAATCCACAGTAGATTAATCTAACAAGGTTGAGTCAGTTTCCTCTGGACAGATTCTTCTTTGTTGAAACAACTAGATTTGGCTGCCATCACCAAACTGGTTGATCCGCATTGAGACGGTGTTATTCAGTTTGTTGCAGCTCCGCAGACTGAAGAAGTCTTTTGGATAAAAGACGAAACGTTTCAACAAAGAAGAATCCAGAGGATCTGACTCAACCTTTGTTAGAACTGCGTCATTTATACAAATATTGGGCTAAAAGTCAGAGTGTGAGTAGCTGCAAGTCCTTAACACGGTCTGAGCACGAAAACATCTTACAAGATCTGTATCGCATGGAGACTGTGCAGAACATTCCAGCCAAACTATCTGTAGCTCTTATTTAAAAAAGAATATTTAATTAAATACATGTCTAAAATGAGAAATCTGCTAATTTACAAGTGGTGTTAACCATCTAAACCTTACTGTAGGCACATACTTTGTGTGTGCGTGCATGTTGCGGATGGGTTAGGGTTAGGCATGTACTAGTAATGGTTAGGTTTACAGTAAGGGTCAGGGTTAGGCTATAGAAAATGAATGGAAGTCAATGCAAAGTCCCCAAAAAGTACGTTTACAAGAACGTGTGTGTGCGCACAAAGGTACACTCAGGTCAGCATACATGGGGATTTACCCCCCACTGATAAAAGCTGGGGCTTTTTCTCCTCCATGCGTCTCCTGTCATGGACATGGTGCTGTAGCGCCAAGTAATCCTCCCTTACATAACCGAGTGCAGCTCTCTCACCAAACACACTCTGATGCACTCACACACACACATAAATCACTCCAGTCAGCACTTAAACACATGTTGAAAAAGTGCTGCTGGGCGGCAATAATGTTTAATTGCAAAAGCAATTTAACTTTCGATCTGTGAGCGATTTCACATTTAGGGGTTGAAAGTGGAATGATTTACCGGAACAAGCAAGTTGTGAAAGATGAACTGATTTAACTTAATGAAAGATGATGCAGGAAATAAATTCAACAAACGAAAAGCTCTTATGGATTCATCAGTTCTTGCTGAGGTGGTTTATTGTGGGCAGGTGTTTTTGTTTGGCTGCACTTAAAACAGTTATTTCAGTACAGAAATTTTGCATAAAAAGGTGGAAATTTATGAATAAAACAGAATTTTTTCTACATTTATGTAGAACAATCTTATCAATGAGTTAAATGTCTATATGCTGAGTCAGCATTGTTGCCCTGTTTGTGTGCTTTCTTTGAAATCTAACAATTTTTGCATATTTAATGCTTGTTCAGCTCATTCAGGAGATGCTGTGATTTGTTTTTGTAAATATTTTTAAACGTTTTTTTTAAACTTCATATTTCAGCTTTTTATGAATCCACTTAAATTTCTTCAAAAACGCGGTTCTTGAAATCTGCTTCACCATGTTAGCTCTAATTTTTGTCTTCTGGTGCGACTAGCATTTAGCTACTATTTTGCTTCTTTTAGCCTTTAGCTATTTATTTGCTACTTTCACATTTTAGCTACCGTTCTGCGAGCATTTTGGTACTTTTATGTTTTTCGCTATTTTAACTTGCACTTTTTCATTTCGTTTTTCATTTATCCTTTATTTTTACTCATTGAACCACGAAAACTAATTTTCAAGAGAGACCTGTTTTAGAGAGCCTTGCTCAGAGGGTGGAGGTGTTTCACTTTTTCCACCCACATTTTTATGTTGACGGTACCGGGAGTTGAACCTGCAACTTTCCAATCACAGGCCCATCTTCTAACCTCTGCGCTACCACTCCCCTACTTATGATACGCTTCTCTTATAGCAAGCATTTTGCAAATTTCTGTACAGTCAAGTGATTTTATGAAAATACTGTAGTACAAATGTACTTCTAACTGTGCTGTACACACACTTTTCAGTGTATTTGTTATTGATAAAATAAATGTAATGAGAATTCAGTAGATTTTTATTTGCTTGCTTTTGTGTGTCATTAATAAAATGTTTCTCAGTCTTCCATTTAAAAACATACATAAAATAATATTGCCATTTATGTAATTTTGATCAACCTTTTTCTGAAATATTCCTTTTACAAATTTACAGACCCAGAAATTATTTGAAACTTTATGCAGAACAATTGTTATGTTTGGATGTAAAGCTGCTATGACCAGTGAAAACTGCTTGCTGTACAATATAAAGACGACTAAAATCAAATAATCAATTTTAAGCTTTTGCTTCTTGTACAGAGGTGAAATGTATGGAGTTCAGATTGTGGATTCTTGGAGTAAATATGTCTGATTTGACAGATGATAATGAGGAGTCAAACCAGCAGCAGTAACGTGGACAGTCTGCTGAGACGATCTCAGATGGAGTTACAGTGGATACGAAGACAGCTGGCTATGATCCATTCCAGAAGCATCCAGCCCCACCATCACCTGTACTCCAAGGGCAAGGTAACTGTGGACTGCACTCTGTAGGCTGGAGGGGCTCCTATTGCAACATAAAAACTCACAAGCAGAACGTTAATTTGAACCAAAGTTTAGTTTGAGTGTCTCTTCATGGGTCTGCAACACAATTTTACTTCATTTGTGATTTCATATGTGCTGCAGCTGCATCAGCTTCTGTTCAGTGCCCTGAGATGACCTGTTGTGACTTGGCACTATATAAATAAACTGAATTGAATTATAACTCAACACAAGATTATCTTAGTCTGAAATCCTGGTTTGAAACGTGGCGATCAATATGAGCCTCTAATAGTGTGAATGTTTATGAAGCATTCACTCTATTGTGATCCATTTTTTTTCCATCCATTTTTCAGCATCTTTATCGTTCCACAATTTTTGTGCTATTTCAACAAATTGTACACCAAAATGTTCAGCTGTTTTAGGACAATCCTTTGGTTTTGGTGCAACTTTAGCTTTTTGAAATATCTCACCTTTTCTGCCACTTTTTTTTTTTTTCCTCATAGGAAATGAATTGAGCTCATTTTACATCCTTCATATCTTCAGATCGGTTTACAATCTTTAACTGCTACTTTCACATTTTGTTCTGGTTCAGCTTCTTTCAGCTTCCTTGTGCAAATTTAAACTTTTTCACCAGCTACTTTCAGCTGTTTTATTCAGCTGTTTTATTCAGCTGTTTTATGCTCCTTTCAGATTCATTTTGCTAACTACAACATTTTTGTGCTTCATCTAACGTATTTCTGATAATTTCAGCTTGTTATGCTCCTTTCAGCATATTTATGCAAGTTTCAGCTTTTTCCTGCTATTTCAGCTACTATTTAGTTGCATTATGCTAATTTTAGATTTTTCATCTAATTCCACATTTTTTTGCACTCATTTCTGCTTTTTTTAGCCTAGTTCAGCAAAAATAGGCTCTCTCAACTTCCTCCTTGTAATTTTATTATTTTCTGCATTTTTAGCTTCTTTTAAGCAGTTTTTTTTTTTTATTATTTTTGCTTTTTTTCAGATAATTTCCACTTTTTTGGGCTAATTTCTGCTTCTTTCAGCCTAATTGGACAAACATTTAGTCTTTCTGCTTTCTTATGCTTATTTATGCTTGCTCTAACTTTTCAGCTATGTTTTAAGCATTTTTTTTAAAGCTAATTTCATCTGTTTTCAGATAAATTCAAATTTTTTTGTGGTAATTTCTGCTACTGTCAGACTAATTATCTTCTTTAATACTCCTTTCAGCTTTTTTCTGCTAGTTTCAGCCTTTTCTGCTATCTTAGCTACTATTTAGCAGCTGTACGCTAATTTTAGCTTTTTAAGCTAACGCCACATTTTTTGTGCTCATTTCAGCTGTTACTGCTTCCTTCTGGTAGTTTAAGTTTTTTCCTGCCTTTTCAGCTATTTTTTTTCTAATTTCAGCTTCTTTTGATTAGCTAATATTCTCATTTTTGGGCTCATTTCTGCTCATCTAAACCTAATTCAATAAATGTTCTTTCTGCTTTATTATGCTCATCTTGTCTTTCCATTTCAGCTACATTTCAGCATATTCTTTAGCCAATTTCAGCTGTTTTTCGGCAAGTTCTTCAGCAATATGCATTCACACTGCATTTTCGCAGGAAATGCATTTTTGTTTTAGCTTTATGTTTTCTGCACTTCCAGTAAGAGTTGAAACATACAGCCTACACAGGAGAACAGTGTTCCTCTACAAGCATGCTTTAGTGTTAATAATCCTGGCTGTGGTCTAAAGGCAGCAGATTGTTCAAAGAGCTAAATGACTCTTTGCCCTTTGCTGTTTGCATATTTAAAGGGGTCGTAACCTGTTTCTGCTCAGTCCAGTTTCCATCTGTTCCTGAGCCCCCCCGTCTCACAGAGCCTTCATGTCAGGCCTGGAAACCAATTCACTGTGAGTAATGCGTCTGCCGCAAAAGATGGGAACAGACAGTGAGGAGGCGTTGCTAAGCAACACAGTAGAACAGAGCGTACTTCCTCCTGTATCTCTCTCACATATACACACACATACACACACTCTGTGTCTTTTTTCTTTCTGTCCTCGCCTCTGTCCTGTGCTCTGCCTCACTGTTGAACAGACAGCAGAAGACAGTGAATGCCTGCTGCTCATGCAACCACACAGGTGATTTATTTGAACTGTTTTGGGGATTTAGGCGAGGAGAACAATCTGATGCCTGTTTCTGGGCTAAAGTGTGGACTAAACTTTAATTCAAGGTTAAAGTTACAGACACTAAAGGAGAATTTTTTTTTATGCCAATTTAAAGCCTAGCACTCCTCACTCACTGCAATGCCAGAGTTTGGAACACAAATTATTATATGATGAAAAAAGGGCTGTAGCAGTTTTAATCCAATGTTGTAAATCTGCTACCACCACACCAACTCTAGCTCAGTAGCTATATATTTCAAGTTATAGCCATCGTGAGTTGGCGAAGGTTAATTAGCTATGGTGGCCATGTTGAATTGGAGTAAATCCAAATGTTATTGAGTTGTTGCTGCATATACAGTGATTACTTTCTGAGGGTTTCACTAAAATCTGTAAAGTAGTTAATGAACTATTTTACAAACAGACAGACCACGTTTGTTTTATGTGTTGTGTGTTTTTTTTTTTTTTGCATTGGCTAATAATAATTAGCTGCAGCGCCCATCTTGTAGCCTACTCAATTGGCTACACAGGTTAGTCAGTTGTAGATGTACATTCAGTGATTACTTTTTGAAAGCTTCATTAAAGTGGGTCTATTGCCTCATGAATTTTGTTTTGTCTAACAGAGGCAGAAAAATGAATAGACATAAGTAAAAACACTTCATTCATCCATCCATTTTATATATTTATATCTATATATATATATGTGTGTGTGTGGATATATATATATATATATAT